TCATTCTGTTCCCTCATTCCTTAACTTGCTCAAAGCTCCTTATCCCCACTCCACCCCCCTGCAGCATTTGCCTTGTGTTCCTACTACCAATTGCCTTAGTCTTTTGATTTTCCAACTGTAAATTCCTGGAAAATCCCCATTATGTATTTCCAAGCCTGGTCACATATGTCATAAATTACTTTCAAGCTGCAATATAGGTCACACTGAGGGAAGTACACAGATATGGTCCAAACATCAGTAACCAGGTAGAGTGGGAATACCCTTCAAACAGATACCATAGGCCATCATTTGGAGAATATCCTGAGCATAATTAACCTTCATAAAAATATTGAATAAAAGCCATTACTTATGCTTATTTTATAGACATGAAAATTGAAGCTTAGAGAGGTACAAAATAATTTGTCCAAGAAATTAAGTGGCAAAGCTGAAATGTGAACACAGGCTGCCCAGCTAACAAACTCAAAGCCTCTATTTTTATTTTCTTTCTTGACTTTCAGGCTGAGTAACATTCTTGCTATTCTCTACTTCCTTAAACTTAGAACTCTACTGTTAGGTTTACTGTATTCTTTCAGTTTTGTGTTTTTCTGATGGCTCCTCCACTCCCTTTAATTCCTTGTTCTCCTTCCAGTTCTTACATGTAGGAGTTCTCCAAAGGACTCTTCATGGCTCCTTCTTGTTTCTTTCTGTATGTGCTTTTTAGGCAAATTCATAGGTTTTTACAGATTTGAATACACTTAGACACTATGGTTTCCTCAACTGGGGTTCTTAGACACACATGTCCCCCACCCCACCCAAGAGACTTGTGGATAGAATTTACGGAGTTCATGAACTTGAATGAGAAAAAAATAACATCTTTATATTTTCACCAGACTCCAACAGAAATTTACTAATCCCTTCAATTATGAATGTATCAACAAACCACTGTAATAGCAGCAAACATCTGTGACTTTGTTACCAACAGAAATCATAGGTATTTTAATATTTTCCAACTGTTGCAAATATCTTAAAATTTTATTTCTTCTCATTATACTTCAAAATCACAGTGGTTCACCTCACACCTATTAGAATGTTTAAAATAAAAAACACAAGAAACAACAAGTGTTGGTAAGGATGTGGAGAAAAAGGAACCCTTTTGCACTGTTGGTGGGAATGCCACTGGTGTTTCCAAGCTGTGGAAAAGACTATGAAGATTCCTCAAAAAGTTAAAAATAGAACTACTCTATGATCCAGTAATCACGCTCCTTGGTATTTACCCCCAAAATACAAAAACACTAATTCAAAGGCATGTGCAACCCTATATTTACAGGAGTGTTATTTACAATAGCCAGGTATGGAAGCGGCCCAAGTGTCCATCGACAGATGAATTGATAAAGAAGATGTGGTATATACACACGATGGAATATTATTTAACCATAAAAAGAAAGAAATCTTGCCATTTGCAATGACATGGATGGAGCTAGAGAGTATAATGCTAAGTGAAATGTCAGAGAAAGACAAATACCATATGACTTCACTCATATATGAAATTTAAGAAATGAAACAAATGAGCCAGGGGAAAAAGAGGAAAGAGAGAAAGAGAAAAAGAGAGAGAGACAATCCAAGAAACAGACCCTTAACTATTGACAACAAACTGATGCTTACCAGAGGGGAGGTGGGTGGGGGAGATGGGTGAAACAGGTGATGGGGATTAAGGAGTGCACTTGTTATGAGGAGCACCGGGTGATGTATGGAAGTATTGAATCACTATATTGTACACCTGAAACTAATATAGCACCGTACGTTAAAACAAATTAAACTGAAATAAATTCAAAAAATAACAAAAATACTGCACTCCTTTATTTTGATAACTGTTTTTGCGATATCACTAATCCTGTCCCCTTTATTTTCTGTATTTAGAAACTTATTTTTTTGAGAAAGGGTTCATAGACTTTGCCAGACTACTAAAGGTTAAAAACTCCTGTTTTAAAACACTCTAGGCTGTTAACAAACCTTATTACGGTGATAATTTCACAATGTAAATGTATGTCAAATCATCACGTTGTACACCTTGAACTTACACAACATTATATGTCAAGAAAGTGAAGAAAAAACCCACGCTAGCCAGATGTCCTATCATGACTTATAAACAGGTTCAAGTCTTAGGCAATGCAGAGGCAGCTTCCTTAAAGCCTAATGACCTACTCAGTTTTCTGAGTTCTGTCTTTAAGCTTTGGCTGCCTGCTTTATCTGCAGACTTTACTTGTCAGATGGGCACCTAATCCTCCCTGTGGTATGATACCCTTGTGTTGATCTTGGGCCTCTAGTTTATATCCCAGATTGCTTTCTACTCTCACTCATTCTTACATTTTGTTTACTAACTCCGGGTCTCAACTCCACACTAGCTGTTGTGGATCCCCGGACTGCTAACACTTTGTCCTGCATATAAACTTTTTCATCAGTGTGGAATAAACCAGAACTATTACCAGAGTAATGTTCTTGAAGTATAGCTCTGATCATATCCTTTCCTTCCTCTGAATGCTTACAAGTTCAGTATAAACTTCTCAGTGAGGGTAATTTTGATTGCCCAAAACTGAAACCTATTTGCGGTGGCTTAAGTAAGATGAGAAATATATGATATGGATACAGGGATATTATGCAGACATTATGAGTAGGGGTATAGGAACAAGTTGAGCCATAAACAAGGACTGGCAAACTTTTTCTGTAAAGGGCCAAATAGTAAATGTATTAGGCTTTGCAGGCCATATGGTTTCTGTCACTGTGGCATAGGCAATATGAAAAGAAATGAGTTCCAATAAAACTTTATTTATAAAACACACAATTTGCCACAGAGCTCATAATTTTAGGACCCCTGGACTAAAACATTATCAGCACTCGCTGAAACTCATTTCCATCACTATCCACAAGTCTGCTTTGTTCTCTTCCTACTGACTAGCTTCTTCAGCTTCTCTGGTTCCCATGTTAGAACGTGGCTTCTGAAAGCTCTGAGCTTCTGTGTCACAAGTTAAAGTTTAAGCTCTCTCTTTCTTTGCCGGTGCTAATTCCAAGTCCTTAGGGTAGGGATATTGTCTGGCCTAGTTTGGGGCCTAGACCAATTAGCTGTGGCCAGCGGTCTGGGTCTTGCTGTATGAACAGGGCTTTGGGAGCCACCCCTACAATGTCTTAGGTCAGAGCTGAGGGACAGGTTTCAGAAAAGAGCAAGGAGCTGGGAAGACAACCCAGTGAGAGCCTTCTGTTGCATTCATTCAAACCTACATTTTCAACATTATCCCTACTAGACCTCTCCTATCCCTTTCTGAAGTACAACCAACTCCTTGTCGATCTCATAAATTCTGCATATTCTCACCCTGCATTCCCCCTATCTGCCAGTAGATATTCTTCTACTCGTCTTCAAAGTCTCTTCTAAAAAGCCACCCTTTTCCTTTAAATCCACACAACAACCTATTGGTCTTGTTCTGCTGCTATTTCTGCACCTTTTTTGTTTTGCAGACAATAGGTGCTCTGCTGAGGAAATGACTTATTTAACTTTTTATCCACTTCGGTACCTTTCAGAGAATAGCCTCTGAGTTCCTATTGGTTGAGTTTAACTATACCTTCAAAGCTGAATAATTCCAAACTAAAGAAAATGTTGACTTTCAAGAGTGGCAGTTATACAGGAAACATAGTATCTACTTTTAAGGAAATTATTTAGAAACTTAAAAGTATCCATTTCCAAATTTTTGGTAGCTAAATTAAAGTACATATGCAGAGAGATATTAATTACAGCAAAACTTACATTGAATGTTATTACATACTAAGAAGAAATAAAGTCCCATTAGGATTGTATCATCTGTTAATGTACTAAATTAAAAAGGAATACTGTAGGGGCACCGGGGTGGCTCAGAGCTTTAAGCTCAGATTTCAGCTCAGGTCATGATCTTGTGGTCCGTGAGTTCCAGCCCCGTGTTGGGCTCTGTGCTGACAGCTCAGAGCCTGGAGCCTGCTTCAGATTCTGTCTCTCTCTCTCCGAACCTCCTTCGCTTCCACTGTCTCTCAAAAATAAATAAATATTTAAAAAAAATACTACAGAAATAACTTAAGAGAATAGGAAAGGTTATAAACTTGAAATATTAAAAACTGCTCTAAAACGCAAATGCTCCAAAATGATTAGTACTCGTGCAAGAAATTTACCAAAGAGCCAGAGATCTCATCATCTAATTTCTTTCTTTCTAGAACTATTAATTAACATTGTTCCCAGAACTGTGCTAAAATCCCCTGCTGAAAGGAATAAAGTAAATACAGTAACTGCAGGGAAAACTGGTTCACATCCACGAAACGGTTGCAAGGCTTGCGCTTTTCTGAAACAGAAAACACTTGTTAAATAACTATTCCTAAACTATTAGCAAACTACATAAAAGCTTTTTATTTAACACCATCCTCCTGGGAGACTGCGTTGGAATGTGCAGCGGGTCTGAAAACGGCACAGATTTGGCTCAATTGTAAATATTAGGTGCAAAGAGGCGAAGCCATTGTGCAGAGTAGGGGGTGGGGAGGGTGGGGTCCTGATTCCCAATGTTGATAGAAGGACTCCAATTTCGCTTGGTATTCATTTTTCTACTACAATTACAGTTTTGCTAAGAAAAATAAAATATCAGTTGTGCTCTCATCAGGCTTCTAATTTGCAGTGCCTACAGAAAAAGAAAACGTCTCATTTAGCTAAAAGAATCACCTTTCCGCAATCTCCAGAGCCTCTGGGAAAACGGAGGAGCGCCCAGCCCCACCCCACCGCCCCCACCGCGGCCACCTCCTGAAAGCCCAGCCCGCTCCACCCGCCGCCGCAGGTCGTCTGGGCTTGCCCAGCGCGCTAGCCGCGCTAAGACCGTGGGTCTCCGCGGCTCGAACCAGTCTGTCGGGCGGTTCTGCGTGGGGATGCTCCAAATCACTAAACCACAACACAGAACCCAAGCTTGGACTCTGAACCAAGCCCTTTTGCCTAGTTTTCTCTTTCCCCGTTTCGCCAGAATCCTCACCACCCCTCGTCACAGCCTCGTCACAGCCTCGCCCCAGCCTCGGGGTCCTCTGCAGCCACCTGCGCGTGTACGCTATTGTCACGCAGTAAGGAGGGGCTGCGAGGCGCTCAGCCCACCAGGCACTCCAGGGAGAGACCGAAACTACAACTCCCATCACGCCCCACAGCCTGTTCCCTCCTCCTCCTTCCCTCCCCCCTCCTCCCTCGGCCAGCGGCCGGGAGGCTCTGGGCTTTATCTGCGGACCTGCGGGAGGGAGTCAGGTCCCCGCGATCTTCCCCGACCCGAGCGATCTGCCCAGCGGCGGCGGCGGCGGCTCTTAGCCGGGTTTTGCCTCCGTGCCCCCGCCAGCCCCGAACCCGCGGGGGCAGACGGTCCGTCCGCGCGTGCGAGAGGATGGTGATCCGCGTGTTCATTGCCTCCTCCTCGGGTTTCGTGGCGGTGAGCACCGTGGGGACTGGCAGAGGGCGGGGGTCGGGTCTGGGGGGCTCTTGAGCGCAGAGCGCGGGTCCTGCGGGAGGTGCGCGGCGCACGCCCCTGCGCGTCTCGGTGCGCTGCGCGTCCGGACGCGGGAGCCCGCGCCGGGCAGGTGATCCATCACACTTGCACAACAATGAAAAGGGCGGGGAGCAAAGGTGGGTGGGGGACCCCAGCTCGCCCACAGGCCCACTCAACTCGGCCTGAGAGGGAGACAGCGCAGCGGAGAAAATGGAGTCTGCGGGAAACCCCCAGCTCCAGTTGTGTGATTTGGGAATTTGGGGAAGGGGTACTCTGAGAGCTTCGGGGGTCCCGCTTCCCTTCGTGTTAGTTCTTCCCGATGTGGGACCTTCGGCCTGGTTATATTTTATATAACCAGCTTTTATGTAGGCTGCTTGGTTTGCTAACCTAGCTCCTGAATGAAACAAGTTTAAGTAGTAATTGCTCTTCACCCTCCCTTCCTTTCCACCCAGTTAAATAGTTTAAACCTGAGCAAAGAGAACTGTAAACTAGGTTTGCCCTGTCGTGCCAGGGTTTTCTTACTTGTTTTGTCTTTTTTTTTTTCCTTAGGATGCTATGAATATTTTCTTTATGTAAATGTGTGTGCTTGGTTTCTTTCCCCTTGTAGTGCAGTGGTCAATTTCATCTTGAGGATGTGTAAAGTGTGGTTTCTCTAATTATTTTAAGTTGTGTTTGGTCGATATTTTGGCTTTTTAATTTTTTTAGGAAGAAGTTTTTGGGAAGAAGAGACAAATAAATGTCAGACTGCAAAGAAAAAATGCAGTAGTATACTTGATAGAGCTCACTGGGTAATAACACATGTAGCAGGATGTTTTACATGATTATTAAAACTTGGTTTCCTTAGTATGAGTTAAGCTGTTACGAGGTTCCTTGGTGAGATATATAATCAAAAACATCAAAACTGCAGTATTGGTTGCTTAAAATTTGGTCACTTGTCTGCCCAGCACCAACCAGATTGTCCCAAAATTTGTTTCTGAAGCAGGTGGGATGGAGGATGGAATAAAATATTGTTTGTAAATCCTTATAAACGACGGAGACTTTTTATTTAAAAAGAAAGCAACACTAGTACCAAGAAAAGACCCCTTTTCATTAGGAATAGATGGGAAACTCCAACTTATCTTTACATGCAGGCATGTGGTGGTCCCCATACTCCTGATAGTTTTGGTATTTCTAGTTATTTGTGGTTGCTTAGTCATTCCTGTCTTTTACAGATTTCTCTACTGAACTATACTTCATGTGTTTGGAAACCCATATTGTTTTGTGCATAGATTTTGTTTTTCAAATGCACTTCGTCATAAGAATGCTATAGACTTTTTGGTTTCACCACCAACTAGCATGCTCAGTAATTGTTCCAGTAGCATTTTTTGATTATGGAAATGCTGATCTATAGTATTAAGAAGCCTACGTTAGTTTGGACAAGTCAAAGTCAAAACTTCAGGCAGTTACTTGGCTTAGCCTATCAGCAGGTAATATACAAGATAGCTCTGGAATTTTGCATCTCTGTTTCCTCAAATCCATTAACATTTATTGCCTGCCTGCTATGCATAAATATAACATTTATATTTAAATATAAAATATAAATAATTTTATATTTACTGTTATGTGTTTTGTCCATGAAGCTAGATTTAAGAGACCTAAGTTTTAATGCAGAATCTGGCTGGTGGTGTAAGCTTGGATAAGGTGCTTCATCTCTTCCTGAGTTAGAATGAAGGATGGTGATGAATTGCTCAGAATTACATTCTAGCTTTAAACTGCTTCGACTTCATCAGTTGGGTAAATGTGGATAAACCCTTGTAACAGTGTCTTTTATTTTAAATGCACTTTAAATGCCTCAAAGTGAGTTTATTCTTTTTGTTTTCCTTTTTTAAATTTTTAATGTATTGTCAAATTGGCTAACAGTGTGTAAAGCGTGCTCTTAGTTTTTGGGGTAGATTCCCGTGGTTCATCGCTGATGTACAACACCCAGTGCTCATCTCAACAAGTGCCCTCCTCAGTGCCCGTCACCCATTTTCCCCTCCCCCCACCCCAAAGTGAGTCTATTCTTTTCCTTTGGTGTTCTGCTGTGATGTCTCAGGCCCCCTCACTGCCCCGCCTAGTAGTATGTGTTCTGACATGATTTGATTTGAGCTAGAAGACATAATCTGTTATATATACAGCCCATAAACAGTAATTCTCTATCTCAATGGACCTAACTTTTTTAGGTCTCAGATGATCCTTAGTCATTGAGTAATTCCCAATTATAATATCATCTCCTATATTAATACAGCTTTTTTGTAATTATGTAATATTTATACTTTTGGTGATGATAAGTTTATGCTTCTATGCAAGAATAATGATTTCTAAGAGATAATGAAATTGTTTAGGTTAACTGTTGGCCTGGGGAGGCTAATAGGGCTTATGGCATTAAGCTATATTAAGCTTTGATGGCATAGCTGTAATGTTTTCCTTCCAGCAGTGTTATGTTGACCGTTGGCCCTGTTTATTTGGTGACCAACTGTGACTAGCAAATGCATGGGAGAACAAATAATTTGACTTCCAAGTCAGTTTAGTTCTAGCTGAAGTTTATTAAACCACAAGGAAGGAATGTAACTAGAAGTTGACTTTGCTAAGTAGGTTCCTGTTATTTCCAGAAAGGTTCTCTGCCCCAATCAGCAATAGATTTAAACAATCTATTTAGAAAATATCCTCATCTTGTTCTGACTTCTCTGAATTCTCCAGCGTCAATGCGTAACAGTGGTATTTGTAATAATTAACACCAAGGGGTGGTTGCCCTTTTATCCTCTCCAGCTCCAGGTAAAACATGCTTTTTCTAGGAAATAAAAGAGATGCCACATTATTATGCCATGAATACCTAAAAATCAGATTTCATATGCAGGTGATAACGTTGCTGTCATTCATATTGTTCTGAAGGGCATTTAATTAGTCCTAAGAAAACAGTATATTCTAAAAGTGCCATTTTAAAATTTAATTTGTTCTGGTTGTGTACCCAAAAGGTGGGGGTGGGGGGGGTCCTGGTAACTTTATTCAGGAAATACATTGATATGGCTTTTTAATTTAAAAATACTGGCATCAGTCAATTATTTCATTCATTCATTCATTATTTTATTCATTCAATAAGTATTTTCTAAGGGTCTGCTCCTTGCCTCTCTCTGTCCTTGGTCTTGTGGGCAATTGGAAGAGGATATAGTCTTTGTCCTCAAGGAATTTAGGTGGGGACTGGGTGGGGAGATAAGATAGGATAGCGAAAACCACCAGTAATAAAGTACAGCCCAAGGACACTTGCCTCTTTCAGAACACATTATCAGAGATAGAAATAATATAGGGGCTGAGGGATACATTGCAGGATGTCAGATAAGGAGGAAATGTGCCAGAAATCATAAAATATGCATGTGGGAGCCTTAGGCAGATGGCAGGGAGAGGAATTGAGTTAGATTTGGAGCCAGGGAGAGAGTGCAGGGTCCACCTTGTTCAGGCTGGAAAGGGAGGAGCTTTTGGTAGAAGAAGGCAGACAGCAGATGTCCCTGTGGACTTCTTTTGAGGACAGGGTAGACTTTAAGTTCCTGCAGGAAGCCCTTGATAAACTCTGTAGTGCTCGGCATTTCAGAGATGTCTTCAGTATCTGCAGCTTGTGTGTTGTCCCACGTCTTTTGTCCCCAGGTAACAAGGGGCTCTCTGGCAAGGAGGGACCTCTGGTATGTGATTTTTAATATATTTTTTTTAACATGTATTCATTTTTGAGACAGAGAGAGAGCATGAATGGGGGAGGGTCAGAGAGAGGGACAGAGAGAGACAGAGCGTGAATGGGGGAGGGTCAGAGAGAGGGAGACACAAAATCTGAAACAGGCTCCAGGCTCTGAGCTGTCAGCACAGAGCCCGATGCGGGGCTGGAACTCACGGGCTGCGAGATCATGACCTGAGCTGAAGTCCGCCGCTTAACCGACTGAGCCACCCAGGCGCCCCTGGTATGTGATTTAAAAAAAATCTTTACCCCTCTGCTTGTCTTGAGTAAAATGTCTCTAAAAAAGAAATAAAATCTTTCACTCTTCGTTAAAGTTTCTGGGCTCAGTTGTTAGAGCTGGAAGAAAACCTAAAGGAATTTTCTAGTGAAGTCCAACCACCTAAAATCACAGAGAAGGAAATTTGGGCTTGGAAATTCAGTGGCTTATCCTGAGGTCATTTGTGTCACTCAACGCAGATCCAAGGGTTAAACGGAAACTAGGTCTCCTGACTCCTGAATGTATTCATTCTTGTGTTCATTCAGCAATGCATTCATTGATGCATCCATTGACCCTTGAATTCATCAAATAATCATTGAAAACCTACCAAGTACCAGGCTCTGTGTAAGGTGCTATTAGGTGCTAGGTGTATGTGAAGTCAGAAGAACAGACTTAAACTCTGGCCTTAGGGCACAAGTCAATGCTCACTTTTCAGCCTAGAGCCTTGGGATGCAAACCATTTAAATAAGGAGATTAATGCGGGCTTGGGCAGTGTTTCTGAGAAGCTGGGTGAAATGAACAGTATATGCATGGATGTTGGAGAGGGGCCATCACTGGGAGCAAAAGAGATAAAAAATTGGAAACAAAGTTGGAAAATACAGCGTTTTGCCCAGGGCTGCCATTATATTTTCAAGTAGGATTGAGAGTGGCGGTGGGGAACACATAGAAACTATGCTCGGAGTTGTTTTGATCTTTGCAGCTGTAGAAGGCATACCCTTTGGTTTGTATGACTTAACTTTTAAGCATGCAGTAAGCAGTGAAGCACTGAATGTATTCAGTGAAGCTTTACTGTGAGGAGGCCCCGCAAAGGAGTGCCAAGCAGTTAAAGTCAGGATATGACCATGTAGAACAGCCTAAGACTGGGCAGTAATTCCTAAGTGATTCTAAGCCAGAAGAAGTTAGTGAGGGTAAGCCTGGGCTCATCAGCCTCTTTAACTCATTGAATCCTCAGAGTCACAGGGCAAGGTAGTTATTTATTCTCATTTTACAGATGAAGAAGCTGAAGTGAAATGCCCTGATGAGATCATACACAGTAGGTGGTGGGATCCTGAGTTGAACTCCACCTGGCAGGTAGTTCTGAAGTTTCTAGAGCAGTTCTCCCCTGTGGGCACGGTGGCACCCTGGGGCAATGAGAGTACCAGGGATGCCTGACATCCTACAGTGGGCTGGATAGTCCCCCATAAGAACTGCCCATGCAAAATGCCAGGGGTATCCTTGAGAAAACAGTGCCAAAGAGCATTGGTGAGTGAGGGTGTGGAGTGAGGTTAGGGAGATGGGAGCATATGAGAAATGACCAGGAGAAGCAGGGATGAGTTGGGGGAGCAAGGAGGAGGATGTGATTTAAGGGAAGGTCAGGCTGGGAAGGCAAGTGTGTTAATTTCCTAAGGGCTGCCATTAACAAAGTATCAAAATCAAGGATTTAAACAACAGAAATTTGTCTCCCAGTTCTGGAAGCTAGATCAGGGTATGGGCAGGGGTGCCTCCTTGTTAGGGCTGTGAGGGAAACTGCCCCATGCCTCTCTCCTAACTTCTCATGGTTTGCTGACAATCTCTGACATTCTTTGGCTTGTAGATGTATCGTTTTGGTATCTGCCTTCACATGGTCTCCGTGCTTGTGTGTGTGTGTGTGTGTGTGTGTGTGTGTGTGTGTGTGTGTGTGTCTGTCATGATGTGCAACTTTCTCCTTTTTATAAGGACACGTTCATATTGAATAGAGCCTGCCCTAATGACTTCATCTTTATTGATCATCTGCAAAGGTCCTGTTTCCAAATAAAGTTACATTCACAGGCACCGGTGGTTAGGATTTCAACATTTTTCAGGGAACACAATTCAACCCATAACAGCATGGAATATGAGTGTTGAAATAGACTAATTAATGGAATTTTCTCCCTTTAATTGGAAAGACTGAAGGCAAATTTCTTGAATCTTCATGTTAGCAGCTGGATGTGGAATTGTATGGAATTGTAGTTGTGTGTAAGGTCTCTTGCTAAAAAGGGAGGTTTATCAATATCCCAGATGAAGACCTGACCTCAGGTTTTCTAGTACATTTTACTCTTTCTCAAATTTGATATTTTCCCATTCTACAATAATATTTTAAGCTTGGAAATAGAAGTATAATCAAGGGCATGGACTCGTATGAAATTAGGGGCTTTTTATCCATTTGTATTGGAATACTTTCAGAAAACATTTCTATTTATTTGAGGAAATGAAATTTTGACAAATATTTATAATATGAAATTTGAGGTGGTTTCCATATTGTGGGAATTTAAGAACATTTGAGTCTTGTCTTTTGTGTGTTTTTCAGTTTTTTTGGTCAAAAACAGAAAAGGAAAGGGGCACCTGTGTGCCTCAGTCAGTTAAGCATCTGACTTCGGCTCAGGTCATGATCTCTTGGTCTGTGGGTTCGAGCCCCATGTCTGGCGCTGTGCCAACAGCCCAGAGCCTGGATCCTGCTTCAGACTCTGTGTCTCCCTCTTTCTCTACCCCTCCCCTGCTCGTGCTCTCTCTCTTTCTCTCAAAAATAAATAAATAATTAAAAAATAAAAAAATAAAAAAACAAAAAAACAGGAAAGGAGAACAACTGTAGTGGGGGGGAAAAGCCAGTTCTATAAGAAGCAGTGTGAGATACCAAATTAAGAAATATTTCTTCTTTAGATGTTTTTCATGTTTAATTTATAAAAATGTTGAAATGAATCATGTTCCCCCCCAGTACAGTTAGAAATGGGTGACAGAATAGAAAAGGTCTAGATTCTTAGTGAATGTTTCATTTTTCCCAAAACAGAAATTAGCATGACTTATGGATCATTATATATGAAAGTTTAAAATACTTTGTTTTGAAATGCAGATTTAAAAAATGGGACCAATACATTATTGCTTTAATTGCTGAATGTCCATTTTTTTTAAAAAGTCACCCTCCAAACTCTAAACTTAAAAGGAGACCCAAATTTTCAGTAGGAGCTGCTTTAGTGGCTGCTACCTTGCTGCAGAGTGAGTTAGAAACGTGTTATTCTCATTTAAATTACATTCCTAGGTACATTATTTTTCTGTGATTAGCTTTGTTACACTGCTACAAAGAAAAAGGACCTAGATTTCTTTTTTTTTTTTAATTTTGTTTTCAACGTTTATTTATTTTTGGGACAGAGAGAGACAGAGCATGAACAGGGGAGGGGCAGAGAGAGAGGGAGACACAGAATTGGAAACGTGGCTGAAGTCGGACGCTTAACCGACTGCGCCACCCAGGCGCCCCAGGACCTAGATTTCTAAATGAGAAATTTAGTGAAAACAACTTTTTTCCCTGTGAACTGGCAAACGCTTATTAATATTTGAGGGAGATTTTCCACTTCTAATCATATACAGTTTTCTTCTTTGGGTCCTCTTTTTAGTGGTAGTTTAAATTTTTTTTTTTCAACGTTTATTTATTTTTGGGACAGAGAGAGACAGAGCATGAACGGGGGAGGGGCAGAGAGAGAGGGAGACACAGAATCGGAAACAGGCTCCAGGCTCTGAGCCATCAGCCCAGAGCCTGACGCCGGGCTCGAACTCACGGACCGCAAGATCGTGACCTGGCTGAAGTCGGACGCTTAACCGACTGCGCCACCCAGGCACCCCTTTAGTGGTAGTTTAAAAACATGTCATGGAACCTTTCTGTTGAGTGATTGTTTAGACCAGCAGTGACCAGTACAGACCGTTGCCTGGCATGGAGGTGGCTAGGGCGGCTGTGAGAGGTGGCGCTTGGGGACTGGGAGCCTTGGAGCGGCTGTAACCCACTGTGTGGTCTGAGCCAGTGCAGCTTCCCTTCTGTCCTCTTTCAAAAATAGGCTTATCTGAGTTTTATCTGCCAGCGCGGACTAATTGCTCAGGAACTATGGCAACTAAAAGTTAGTGTTGTTCTTTCTTTCATGTTTCATTACTTTTTCCAGACTCTAAACAATCAGCCGACCTAGGAAAAGCACCTTCTGGGCTCCTGACTGCTTTGCTGTAGGACTCGAAGCTCTGCTAGATGCTTGCTGCCAGATAGGGGTCCCCCTACCAACAAGCCCAGGTCCTTTTAGGCTGGTGCAGCCCCTGGAAACTAGAACTGGGTCTGGTTCCCTTTGTTACCGTTGACAGCTTATTCATTCCTAAAAGGTACTGAACTCTTTTGGGCTGGGTCAGTGCCTGGAACAACCCCAAAGGGGGTTTCCTGGAACTGACCCCTGAAACTAGAAGGGCAGGGCGCGGTGTACATCAGGGTGTGTCTCTTGTTGTGGGACCCTTGTGGCTCTCTGCCAGCATTGCTTCAGCACTCCTGAAGCCGGAAATGGAATGTTGGCTGGGACTGAGGGCAGAGGGTTTTAGGTACTTCAGGACGTGCTTCCATATCCTACCAGCGATGACTCAGATCTGGAATTGGCTTTTTGTCATCTTGGACCTAGTGGCTTTTGGAGTGGAGGGCTGGGAAGGAGAGAGACCCAATTAAGTGACTTGCTGACAGGTCAGTTCAATGGTGTTTGGTAAATGCACATACAGTTAAAGTCAGCAGACCAATCCTATATAAAAAACAAAACAAAGCAAAACAAAACAAAACAAAACAAAAAACCCCTAAAGCAACACAACCAATGTAGCTTTTGAGCTTTTTTTGAGTTTGTTTTCTTTTTGGAGTTACACAAGGAGTGGGAGTATGGTCTTCATTCATGGCATTCCTATGTGATTTGAAGCTTACTAGTTCTCTTCTTTCCTAATTATATTCGTTATGATAGTTCCTTGAATGGGAATTGGCCACTCCATCAGCCTGGGTCCCCAGCTGACAGAAGTTTTGGGTTGTGCTGACCTTTTATGGTAAATAAACTACTTACTAGTCAAAGTAACTATTTGGATTGAATATTTGCTGATTTATTTAATTCTGGAGTTAGTTAGCTAATATTCAAGCCAAGCACCTCCTTCTGCCCCATCCAAGGATTAGCTATCATTGGGAGTCAGTATAGTTTCATGGGTAAGGCAGGGCTTAACAAAAAAAAAATTTTAATTACTATAATAAAATAAAAAAGTTTTAAATTATAACCTTGGATCTTTAATCATCAAATAATTATATATAGTACATAGTACCTACTAAGCCAAGGATGCATGCTGCTATAATTTTAGAGTATTTACTTATTTTTGATTCTTTTTTTTTATTATTTTTAATTTACATCCAAGTTAGTTAGCATATAGTATAATAATGATTTCAGGAATAGAATTTAATGATTCATCACTTACATATAACACCCAGTGCTCATCCCAACAAGTGTCCTCCTTAATGCCCCTTGCCCATTTAGCCCATCCCCGTACCCAACATCCCACCAACAACCCTCAATTTGTTCTCTGTCTTTAGTAAGAGTTTCTTATGGTTTGTCTCCCTCCCTGTTTTTATATTATTTTTCTTCCCTTCCTTTATGTTCATGTGTTTTGTATCTTAAATTCCACATTTGAGTGAAATCATATTTGTCTTTCTCTGACTGGCTTATTTCACGTAGCATAATACATTCCAATTCCATCCACGTTGTTGCAAATGGCAAGATTTCATTCTTTTTAACCATTGGTAATATTACATTGATATATATCACATCTTCTTTATCCATTCATTAGTCAGTAGACATTTGGGCTCTTTACATACTTTGGCTATTGTCAATAGCACTGCTATAAACATTGGGGTGCATGTGCCTGCCCCTTTGAAATAGCACTCCCGTATCCCAATAGTGCAATTGCTGGGTTGTAGGGCAGTTCTATTTTTAATTTTTTGAGGAACCTCCATACTGTTTTCCAGAGTGGCTCCACCAGTTTGCATTTCCATAATTTTAGAGTTTTTAGTAAATTTAAATATAAAAGAGTTATAATTTGAGGTCATTCCCCAAACAAATCACCCTAGTAGAGTTCTTCTGTAATTTTTGAACATTTTATAGGTGCATGGCAGGTTGTGCATAAGTCACTAGAACATATTTATTCATTGCCTACAGAGTGCTTACTACTGTGTAGTTGGTCACTATTCTTTGCTGTACCTAATACATGAATATAGAGTCCTGGTTTGACTTAAGTCTTCCTATACTTAGCAAGTAGATCTTATCTCAACTGACAGCTTTGACTGATGGATGGTGGCTGCCTGGAGAGCTGGGAGAGGGGTTTTGGAGCTTTGTCTGGGATCAGCTGGAAAACAGTGTGATTGATTGTTGATGTCTGATCTGGCACCAGAGGAGGGAGGACCAGGGCTTATGCCACGTATTTGCCAGTGCTATCTTCGGCTCTTCCATGCATAACTGAATGGAGAGTGTTTTGAGTCTGTGAGTAAAAGGGAAAAGAAATATGAGACACCAAGTTGAATTGATGGATAGATAATATTCTCTGCAAACATCTCACCCCAAATCTAGGGGGAGGGTGGTAGAGAAGGGCCAGGATCTCTCTGTTTAATAAAAGTAAGTGAAGACAGTGATTATCATGACTGTGAAACTGAACACTGAATCTTGATGCTAGTGAAATGTTTGTGGGGAGCTTCCCTCTGTGGCAGATGGGCAGGTAGGTGGCGGTAAAAGAGGTGGCGGGGGGGGGGGGGGGGGTGTGAGAACAGTTGGTGGAGACAGAAAGGGAGAAAGACACTGGATAGGTGGACCCTCAGATATGCCTGTCCACCTTGCTGAGCCTTGGAGCACTGGAAGGTCAGGTGAACAAGTTAGTGTTTACCTGTGCCCAGAATGTGGTAGGATTTTTCCTACAGGTTATTTAATCCTTATAATGGCCCTACAAACTGTGTTTCCTATACCCATTTTTCAGCTGAGAATATTGAGGGCGATTAACATGCCTAGGATCTTTTGGTTCAGTGAATCCAGATTTGAACCCCTCCCTGTCATAAGAGTTTTTGTCCAGTACTTTTATCCCACATTACCCACAAGAAAAGCGCTTGCTTGGAGGCCACTGAGAACCTGTGCCTTGGGCACCCAGAAACAGGCTAGGATAACAGTGCGTAAGCTCAAGCTAAAGAAAGGAGAAAGGGCAGGACTGCTAAGGAGCAGTTCCAGGGGTACCCACTCAGCTGTTGAGCAGGTAAATGTAGCCATAGTGTCCTTGGCACGTGAAAGCAATGGCTTTGCTTCTGCAGAGACTGATAAAAGCTATAAGGAATATAGGGGCGCCTGGGTGGCTCAGTCAGTTGGGCGTCTGACTTTGGCTCAGGTCATGATCTCACCGTCCATAGGTTCGAGCCCCACATTGGGCTCTGTGCAGACAGCTTGGAGCCTGGAACCTGCTTCGGATTCTGTGTCTCCCTCTCTCTCTGCCCCTCCCCCACTCAAGCTCTGTCTCTTGTCTCTCTCAAATATAAATAAATATTAAAAAAAAAAGATATAAGGAATATGGTTGGAATGGAAAGCTAATATTTCATAATTAAAAATTTTTTTTGAATGTTTATTTTTGAGAGAGAGAGAGAGAGAGAGACAGAGCATGAGCGGGGGAGGGGTAGAGAGAGAGGGAAACACCAGAATCCGAAGCAGGCTCCAGGGTCTGAGCTGTTCAGCACAGAGCTCGACACGGAGCTCGAACTCACAAGCCGTGAGATCATGACCTGAGCCGATGTCAGACTCTCAATCGACTGAGCCACCCAGGCACCCCCATAATAATTTTAATAGTAACAAGAACAACAACTACCATTCACACCATGTGCAGGAAGTACTCAAGGCTTTATGTTTGTTAATTTGTATTCCTCAAAGTAACTTGGCATTGGTAGCCATTCATATTCATCCCCTAGCCCCCTTCACTCTCTCTAGTAGAATAGGAAACTGAAGCTCAGAAATTTCAAATAACTTGCCTTGTCATAGAATCCAGAAAATCCAGACACTAGATTTGTGCCATCCATTTTCCTAATGGTCATGTCCCAGAGGAAGGAGTCAGAGGTTAAAGAGAAATTGGAACAGACAGTGCTCCGAAGACACAGTTGAATATTTCACTGAATGTCCTGAAACCAACTGCATGATTTACCTCAAATGCAGTTCTCTTGCTTTGTGTGATTGAGTTGAGCTGACTTGATGTGTTGAGCTGGAGGGAGCAGGATGGGTGGGAAGGTAATGGGCTGATGTGGGAGAAGGAAAGGTTGGCCGGGATGGGGTCGAGGGCAGAGATATTTAATTTCTTGGGACCTTTTGGGCAACATGAGATCTACTGGAACAAATGGTGGTGGTGCAAGTGTGTGCTCTCATTCTTTCTGCTTGGGATTCTCGGTTCTTGGGAGACATTTTCTCCACAGGCTGATCATTCCTTGTTTTCTTCCCTGTAAATAATTGGGTGGAAAGAGTTTATCAGTATATTGCAGCCTACGGTCGGAATTCAAGGCAAAGAGTGGGTAGAAAGCAGGAGGCCAAAGGCAGGGCTGTTGGTGGTTATAGGGGAGGGAAGGAGGGCCTGTGGGGATGCAGTCACCATCCATGGGAAGGCAGGAGGGGCCCACGGGAGTGGGAGTACATTCATACACCTCATCTGCCCAGTTTAATAATTCTAATCTTTGTGCTTTGCTTATTATCAGCCATCCCTCTTTGTAAGATCAGATTCTGTACATGCAGTTTACTGAGGGAACCTCATAAGCATAGTTGGTAGAAGAAATTTGTGTGATACAAGCAAGATGATAAGTGGTAAGAATGTGAATTTTAGAAGTAGAAAGACCTGGGTTCAGATAATGGCTCCTAAGTGGCAAGGTGGCTTAGCAGGTCTTTTAACTTCTCTGGATCTCAGTATCCCCACTTGTAAAGTTGTCGGAGCTTAATGACAAGGCAGCTGTTAATAATATTATGGATTTCATTTACATTTAAGTCTATAGTAATTCTCTGGTCTTTTGTGAGTCTTCAACTCTGAATAAGCTATTAATATTTAATTAAGGAAAAAGATTATTGTTATAGTTAGACAATAGGTTCTGAGTTAGATGGAACACATCTGTAGGAAGACCTGAAACTGACATTGTTTATTAGGGTTAGTGTAGGCTAGAGGTCACAGTCTAGTTGCAGAGGCTAGAACCCCTTCTTTTTTGAGTTAACACAGTATTTTAAAGTGGTTTTGAGCCAAAGATTTTAAATACTGGGTGATGTCTTTCTTCCACATACACAATCTAGAATTCCTACTCTTCTTGAGACATCTGAAGATTTCTTCACCCATTGCCTCACTCCATCATGGCATGGATCCTTCAGAGTTGCCCCTTCATCATGACGTGGCCTTGGGGTTCTCCACACCCCCTACCATTCTCCCTCTCCTCCCAACTCTGAGCCATTTGTTATTGAGCTTGTGCTGTTCTTTTGCCTGTAGTAGGAAGTATTTTTTGGCATGTATGTTTATCAAAAGTGGGAAACCACAAGATTATATTGAGAGGGTTATTTGTTTCATGAAGAATGGAAGTCAGTGAAAGGTTTTTGTTTTTGCTTTCTTTTTTTTTTTTCTTTTTGGAAAAAAGGAAATAATAGTCCTAAATGGTTATTTGGTGCTTGTTGACTTTATTCCTTTATGTTGACTACCTGACTACTGTGGCATTTGAATGTTTGACTCTATGTAACCTAATTATTCCAGGAAGTAAAAAGTGTCTATTTCCTGTCTGTACTTGGTGATGACCTCTCAGTCACTCTAATCTCAGAACTGCTGCTTGAAGTCATTAAACTCTAGGACAGAACTTCCTGGAAAAGCTTAAAAATGAAGTTGATCACACCCTATGCCAGGTTTTATCACCAGTGTCCCTGTTGACATTTAGGTCTAGGTAATTCTTTATTGTGGGGTCATCCTGTGCCTTGCAGACACAGAACAGCATGCCTGGTCTCTACCCGCTGGGTGCTAGGAGTATCCTCTATCTGCAGTTGTGACAATGAAAAATGTCTCCATGTATTCCCAAATATCTCCTGGGGGCAAAATCATACCTGGTTGAGAACCTCTGCTCTAATCTATAGTAGCAGAGAGGAAATGGTTACAAAGAGAAGACTCACATTGCTTTAAAACTAGGAGGAACTGAAGAGGTCATTTCATTCATCGTTCTCTTCTGATGTGGTATGAGCCATTAAATTACTTGTTCAAGTCTCCACTGCTTGTCCTAATATTTCTAGAACAGTGCAACATGGACCTAGAATACTGCACTGGGAGTTGGGAGACTGAATCTGGTTCTGGTGATGGCACGTTTGTTTGTTTGTTTGTTTGATATAGTTGTGTGTGTTTTTGTTTTTTGTTTTTTTGTTTTTGTAAGCTCTGTGTCCAACATGGAGCTTGAACTCACAACCCCGAGGTCAAGAATCACATGCTCTACCGACTGAGCCAGCCAGGCTTCTTTTTTTTTTTTT